GTTTTAATCAAAACAAAAAAATCTGTAAAATTTTAATTATTTTGTAGTCCTTAGATTTTTCAAATAATTCTCTCTATGCACAAATGTTTTTCCACATCAGTTAAACTTTTACAAACTGTCTTTAAACCAGTTTTCTGTCAGAGATTTGTGTGTTAATCTGAACAGTWGTCAGAGGATTATTAATCTGGATGAAAGAAGAGTTTATTCTGCCTACATTTCCCAGAATGCATCACAAGCTAACTCCGGTGAACGTGTTTTAACATGTTTGTTGTTTAAAATGCATGCTTTTACTCAAAGTAAAGTACTTTAATAGTACTAAAGCACATTTAACTTGGTTGTAAWTAAACATATTTAACTCGGTAAACATTTAATAAATATTTCTGTTGGTAAAATCAACTTTACCGCCGCTGTTTTCGGAGCTTCAACCGGAGCCTCCTCATATCTTTCCTGCTTCTCCTCCTCCTCTCCTCCTCCACCGGCCTTACGGTCCTCCCTCGGCCGCGTCCCGGACTTTTTCTCGCGGGGGGAGGTAACGTGGTTCCAGATAACATAGGCTACCCCCMCGGCAAGAACCGCGGAGACGCCGAGAACTCCGGCTTCTTTCAGTCCGAGCATGGCGCTCGTTAGGCGGCTTAGCTGCTGTGTTTGGGCGCCGCTTTAGCAGTCCGCATTAAATGTTTTATTCATTATTATATTAAAGTTATGATGAAGACAGGAGCTCCCACGCCTTTCTGTCCTCCTCTTCCTCCTCAACAAGTGGATTAAAGTCACAGGAAGCGACGGATGAACGTCCACATCCGGATAAAGCGCGCCACCGTGTTGATGCAGTACCAACAACTGTCCACAAGATGGCGCCAAAGATACATGCAGGAAGTGACCACAAGAGGTCGCTGTTTTTCTTAAAAAAATTTAAAAAATAATCCAAGATGGCAAATGGTCACAAATTATTTATGTATTAACTTAAAAGTGCAGAGGTTTTGGTTTAACTTTTTTAAATCTGTAAATTAAATGAAAACAAAAACAATCTTGGAGCTCTGGCCTCGTCCGTCACCCCTCTGTGGATAAATCCTGTGCAGGAACTGAATTTGAATMMYTCAGATTGAATCTGAATTATTCAGATTCAGTTCCTGCTGGCCCAGGATTKATCCCGTACTACCATCAGGTCCTGGATCCTGGGTTGGTCCTCTTCATCGGGACCCCTTGCGTCTCCTCAGGRGCGCTCAGGAGCCAGGTCTGGACAGCACTCCTCTCCTCCGTCACCTCCAGTCTCTTCTGGGTCCGGGCCCTCAGAGACACGGGCCTCCTCTTCTGTGAAGTCCTGGCCTCCTGGACCAGAGGGACCGCAGAGGAGGACGAGTCCACCGCCTCCAGCTTACGGTGCCTCCTGGACTTGGGCGCYTCCTGGAAGTTCTTGTAGCTCTTGTTCTTGATGGAGGACAGGAGCCTGGCTCKGCTGCTGGACTCCCTGTCCTCGGCGTCCCGCTCGTGGACCTCCTTGTCCCTCCTGGTCTCGGAGGTGGAGGTCCTCTGCTGCCAGGTGATGAASTCGGACACGCAGTCCTTCAGACAGGAGCTGAAGTCCCGGTGGATCACGGAGACCCTGGACCTGACCTCCTCTGTGGCCTCCTTCAGCTTCTCGTAGTGGCTCTGGATGCTACTCATCTCGTCCAGGAGATCCGGGGTCACGAGGTCCTGGACTACGGTGGCCCTGCTCAGACCCTCCTGGTGGACCTCCTGGGTTTGGGGGTTCTGCTGCTTCATGAAGGCCAGGACRTGAGGCATGGCTGTGAAGTGGAAGGCCTGGGCCGCGAGGAGCTTCCGGTAGATGTAGATGACGTCATAGTGCCGTGCCTTCATGGAGTCCCTGAGGAAGTTCTGCACGTGGTCCCAGTCCTTCAGGGCCAGCCGGATCTTCACAGGKGGATCAAACAGCTGGGCGTGGTAGAAGCCAAACATCAGGTACAGACCCCCCACCCGGACCTGGTAGCTGTAGGGGGGCAGGAAGAACCTCGCGGCGGTGGCCAGGCTGATCCCGGAGAACCTCCTGGAGTCCCCGCTGCCGCCGAGGCCGAGGAAGACCTCCGAGAAGCTCGTGGCCCTCCAGATGGACGAGAACTCCCCGAACCGGACCGAGCCCGTGCGCTCGAAGCGGACCAGCAGGTCCTCCACGTCCTCGGTCAGCGGACCGTAGAAGAAGTCCGAGTAAACGGACGGAACTCGAGGCATGATGGCGGCGTCCCGCCAAGAACAAACAGAAAAGCGCGCGCACCTGTGAGCTGATGAAGCTCGCTTCTGATTCCAGCTGCGGCTCATTAAAGGCACCTCCTCCAACTTTTACAAAAAAAAAAAAAACATTGATAAATTACTGCAGCCAATTGTAGTTTAGTGTTTGGCTTCTTTTTATTTTTCTTCACAATTATAAGAGGCGTTCACTGACCAGGGAAAACGTCGTTTTTTACAATGCAGTTCTGCTTTACTRGAATATGTTCTAYCATCACTAATAGCATRGAAATATGATTAGATTAGATATCAGCAATTTGTCAACCAAACTGCTTCATTTTTTTCCCCACCTTCATGTAAAACAGCAGAAATGCATGTTTTAATTCGGAGTTGTGCCAGTAGTTCTTCTCTGCACCACCAGAGGGCGCTCACAGGTCAGATTGTCCACCCCACTGAAAGTTCAAGTCTCAAAATTATTCTGGTTGACGTTCTAACTTTCTGTGTTGGTCTTAATCTGGTCAAAAAAACTGAAAATAACATGAAATATGCTCTTACATTCTCTTGTTATCAGAACAGACTACAGTGTTTTAAATCTATGCTCTGCCGTGCAAATTGACAGAACAGTAAACCTAATAAAATAATTTAATGGAAACATCACGTTTGCTTCCTTATTTTCATTTTTTGTTGTAAATGTAAATAAAATCTTACAGAAACTTGTCAGCATGAATTTCTCATGCATGCAACCATCACTTGACTGTACAAAATATAATTATAAATATTGTGCAAGTAAGTACCATTCTACACCGCCAGAGGGCGGTCACAGGTCAGATTGTCCACCCCATAATAAGTAATATAATTAGCAGTTTTGTAAAGTGGTACTTGAGTAAAAGTACAAGTCTCTTACCAAAAAAAATTACTTTTGTAAAAGTCAAAGTCTCTTTTAAGAATATTACTTGAGTAAAAGCCTTAAAGTATCTGATTTTTTTTGTAGTTAAGTATTAGAGTAAATGCATTGATTTAAAATGATCAGTTAGATTTTACATAAGGACATTTATTAGGTGACCTGCCTTCAAAAAAAAATACAGAAATGACTATATTTTATCAAAATAATTAATTAATGTTAAATTTAGGATGCACTAGTCCAGCTGTTTCAGTTTATATACATATATCAAGGCTGCACAAAGCTTTTCCCCAAAATGAAAATCTATCTGAGGGCTGCGGCCAAATGTAATATGTCATGAAATACAAATACTTAAGTACAGTCCTTTTATTTTTAGTGTTTTAATTGTTTTTATATCTGTGATCTGTTTTATTTTATTTTATTTTTTTTGTTTTCTGTGAAGCACTTTGTGATGTTTGTCTGTGAAAGGTGCTATAGAAATAAAGTTTACTTATTTTAATTAGGTGACATTATTTTTTGTGCACAAACTAATACAGTATCAGAATTTTATATATTTATACTTCTAATTCAACCACAGTTAAATTCACTATCTAGGAG